TGGGAACAGATAGCCAGGTCTTTTCTCCTGCAGAGTGGCTGGTGGGTTCAAACCATTGTCCTTTTTGTTAGCAGCCAACCGCTTAACCATTGTGCCACCAAGGCTCTTTATTAGAATGGCCAATTTAAAAAAAAAAAAAAAATTCTGAGAGAGAAAACACAAATAGTCAACCATCCAGAAAAACACCACAAAAATCCATTGTTCGTAAATCCTTCCAGTCTTTTTTTTTCCCAATGCATAGAGTTATCTATGTTGAGAACACTTCCATTTTCCACTTAATGTTTTACCATAAAAACTCCATTTTCAATGACTGAAAAATACTTTACTGAATGGAAATGATCGTAACTTATTTAAACATTCTCCAATGGGGGACATTCCCCCCCACCCCCAGCTTGAACGCCCCCTCCCGTGTCTTCTCATAGCTTTCTTCTTTGTATTATATGTATCTATATATCTGTTTATTCATGTCTTCCCCACTAGACACCAGGCTCTTTGTATCAGAGACTGTGTCATCGTTGTACCCTAGGCCCTGATACTAAACCTGGCTTTGGGGAGGCCTCCATGAATATTTGGTGAGATGGATGAATGTGAGTCATGGGGATGGCGTCTTTTTACCTGCTCTGGCATAGGGATGGCAAAACGCACGTGGGGTGACTTAAAAGCCCTAGCAGTACTCGGGTTCTGAATACTCTGGTGAAGCCCCTCCAAAAAAGTGCAGGTTTAGAAAGATAGTCCAAAATATGTTTAAAACACTGGCTGCCCACTATCATGCAGCTGTCTTTTACATGTTAGTGGTGTGAACTACAAGGAGATACTCAGAACCTACTATGTGCAGGTGCTCGGCTAGGCAAATGGTGAATAGGTCAAAATAGTCAGTGACCTCAAAGAGTTAGAGTCTAGTGGAAAGGAGGCATACCTGAGCAATGAAAAAGTGATTAAATGAGAAGTAGGATAATGAATAAATTTAATACAAGTGGTAAAGAATTTATATTTAAGGTTTGGGAGGAAGAACATGATATTAACTCATGACCTGAGTGATAAGCAGGAATTACCCATAGAAGGAGAGAAGGGGCAAGAGTAGGTTTGAAGGATGCTAATTTCTGAGCCCCATGGATTCCAACACTTAGTTGTCTCTTCACATTTGACAACAACACTCATGTTTATGTAGTTGATGTTCTTGGAAGAGGTTCATGTTAGATTCTCAATACTAGTGTTCAGGGTAGGGAAAGTGTCTTTTGGAAGCGATGTACCAAAGGAATTTTCATTTATTGATAGCAGAAATAGAAAGATGTTGAGAAGACTTGGGAAATGGGAGCACAGGGAAATAGCACGTAGAATGCTCTAAGTAGAGGAGGTGGACTTTATGCTCATAGAGGCTGAAGAGGCCTCAGCCAAGGCAGGGGCTTTAAGTTTGAACAATGTGGAGAGGTGTTCATGAATTATTCAAATAAAATAACGCTTTCTGCCTTGGGGAATTTCTCAGTGGTGAGCGGTGTGTTTTTTAGGGTGGGGGTAGCAGAAGGGATAGGCTGTGGAGAGCCATTTCAAAAACTTTGTAGAGCATGCTATTGGCATGTCTACTAAAAGGGAGCATAGAAGAAAGTGCGGTGAGGGGAGCCTAGCACCATTCATTGGTAGTGACCTTCAAAACGCAGGCTCATGCGTGAGAATGGGTCTGGAGGTCGGATTGGATGGCAGACAAAAGAATTAAAATGGTTGGATTCTGTGGGTCTTTCTTTTGAGATGGACCAATAAGTAGAGAAGCAGGCTAGATGACTTGACTTGTTCCCTTACAACCTTTGATTTGATGACCTTGAGGTACTTTGACAAGCCCTGGAAAGGCGAAATTTGGCAATCCATAGACTCTCAGATTTCTGTAGGAAACACAGTGTGTATTGCACTGTCTATGAGAGGGGGAAGCTGTCTGTCTCTGGAGTTAGGGATTGTCTGTGTAACCCTAGCAAATGGTTCCCTGATGCCATTGAATGGTTTACCAAACTGCTTTTTGTGTGTAACCTAATACTAAATATTGTTGTCAGTTGTGTAAATCATCTTTGTAGGAGAGGGAAAAAAAAAAAAAGAAATTTACATTCAACTTTCAAATCTGAAAACAAACTAGAAAAAATAATGAGCAGTATATTTTATTGATTTCCAGGCATTTGGCTGATTATGAAGAAAATGTGTTTACTTCCCATAAAACTTGCCAAGTTTATATATAATATGGAAGACCCCAGAAACCTTAGTTGTCTGGGTGCTCACATCACGGAAGTATTTCATATATTTCCTTGTTCTTTATCCATAAAGCTGAGCTCCTACCTTTTGCCAGGTGCAGTGGTTAAGAGCTTGGCTGCTAACCAAAAGACTGGCAGTTCAAATCCACCAGATGCTCCTTGGAAACCCTATGGGGCAGTTCTACTCAGTCCTATAGAGTCACTATGAGTTGGAATTGACTCAGCGGCAATGGGTTTTCATGGAAGGCAGAGAAAAGGAGCCCTGGTGGGACAGTGGTTAAGCTCATGGCTGCTAACCAAAAGGTAGATGGTTGGAATCCACTAGCGGCTCCATGGGAGAAAGATGTGGCAGTCTGCTTCTGTAAAGATTTACAAGCTTGGAAACCCTATGGGCAGTTCTACTCTGTCCTGTGTCCTATATGGTCACTGTGAGTTGGGATTAACTCAATGGCAACGACTTTTTTTAAGGCAGAGAAACAAACATACACAGGTCACCTGGGGCAGGGGTTCTGCCCTCTTTATAGAAAATTGTATGAAGATTGGGGCCATTCTCTTCATCCATTGGACGCCATCAGCTGGCTCCATCTTTTACTCACAAACTGCTTTACTCATAAGAAAAGTGTTAGCCATAATTTCCTGCCAACTCATAGTTTATTACGAATAACAAGTTCTGAAGGATTTCTTTTTCTTTCACTGAGAAACACTGTAGACTAAAAACAAAGTAATCTTGTAATTTGTACCTACAGGTACCGGTATCCCCAAGCTGAAATATTCTGTGTTTCACCAAAGCACTGCAAACCAATTAGACGTCTTTTGGGAAATGGATACAACATGGAAAAAAAAAATTTTTTAATGTGTTCAATTTGCTTTTGACGGCAGATAAGTTACTTAAGCTCTCTAGGCTTTGGTTTTAATAATAATAATAGTATCATTATATATAATAATTTTTATATAATATATATATATCCTTTGTAATTATATAATAATGTTATTATTATGATAAACGCTATTTGAATAAAGGTTTTTAGTTTACATTGAGTTTTCTTTTATAGTAGATAGGCCCAAGGGTTTATCTCCGTTTGGCTGAGTGGAGAAAGTAATGCTCATCTTTTCCCACAAAGGACTTAAAGAGGGCAGGGAAGGTATCCCCCTGAGCTGAAATATTCAGAGTTTCACCAAAGCACTACAAGCCAATTAGACATCTTTGGGGAAACAGAAACAATATGAAAAAAAATTTTTTTTAATGTGTTCCATCTTGCTTTTGACTGTAGACAAATTACTTAAACTCTCTAGGTCTTGGTTCTAATCATCATCATAGTAATAATATCATTATATATAATAGTTATTATATAATATATATATTCTTTGTAATTATATAATATAATACAATTATTATTATAATGTTAAATGCTATTTGAGTAAAGTTTTTAGCTTACAATGGGTTTTCTTATATAGTAGATAGACCCAAAGGTTTATCTCTATTTGGCTATTCTTGAAGCCTATGAGAATGGTGAAAGTGATGCTCATCTTTTCCCACAAAGGACATAATGAGGGCAGAGGAGGTCAGGTGAGGATGACAGCTGCAGAAATTGAAATTGGACTACAGAGGAGGGCAGGAGTTCCATGCTGCAAAACACAGAGCAGAGTCAGAGCAGAGAGGCATAGGATTGGTAACTAAGAGACTTGGATGATTTTCTCGGCACAGCTGAGTGTAGGCAAGTGCTATCTTGTCCCTGGGCTTTGCCAAAGGAGGGGGAAGAACCCAAGAATATTTAAGTTCTTTCTGTGGCCTAAGGAGTTGCATGTGTGTTGACCCATTCCATCCTTTGCGATTAGAATGGGAGCCTCCTCCACTCAGGCCACATCCCCAGCTCCTTCACACCACGTGTGTTGAACAGCAGGTTGTCTGGAACGATCTGATCAATTTAGTTGTTTGTAGTAACAAAAGCCTGGAAACAACCTAAGTGTCCTTTGGAAGAGGACTGCTAAAATAAATGTTAATAACATCCATATAGTGGATGAAGTAGATCTGTATGTACTGATATAGAGGAAGCCCCTGAATTTATTGTTATAGAAAGAAAGAGATGAAGAATGATGTGTGCACTATGCCCTTAACTGTGAAAAAAATAAAGTACTGCATGCATGTATCTGTATAGATATTTTTGCATATGCGTACAATATCTCTTGCTGGAGTCACAGGAAACTGGCAACAATGGTTGCCTCTGAGAAGAGAAAATGAAGGATTGGGAGTCAGAAGGGAGACGAAGAATTACTTATTGCATAAACGTTTGTATATAGGCTAGAGAGGAGAGAACATAAGGTCAAGAATTTTTAAAAAGCTAGAATCCTGACTTCACTGCTCCCTAGCTGTTCAACCTTGGCCAAGGCAATTATCTTCTCTAAGATTTCATTTCTTCCTTTGTAGAATGGGGTGTGAAGTCTCCCTCTGTGTCTGTGTGTGTGTGTGTGTGTGTGTGTGTGTGTGTGTGTGCGTGTACAGCATATTTGCAGTGATCAGCATATAAGTGAGTCCTTATCTCCCCAGTATATCCCTCATGGAGTTACAATTCTTGATTTCTCTTTCTCTAGCTTCATTCCGATATTGACTCCGGTGATGGGAACATTAAATACATTCTCTCAGGTGAAGGAGCCGGAACCATTTTTGTGATTGATGACAAATCAGGGAACATTCATGCCACCAAGACATTGGACAGAGAAGAGAGAGCCCAGTACACGCTGATGGCTCAGGCAGTGGACAGGGATACCAACCGACCTCTGGAGCCACCATCGGAGTTCATTGTCAAGGTCCAGGACATTAATGATAACCCTCCTGAGTTCCTGCATGAGACTTATCATGCCACCGTGCCAGAGAGGTCCAATGTGGGTGCGTATAGCAGGTGGCATCTGGTCTGCCTCCAGGCTTGGCGTCTCTGTGGGTGGTTGGCCTGTTAACCCGTCCTCCCAAAAGTTGAACTTGTGCTGTATCTTCTGTGGCAAAAAAAAAAACAACAAAACAACAAAAATTGAGCTGTGTAGCTGAGCTTTGAAATATTTGAAATGAACTTGAAGTTCTAAAATCTAAACTTATAAAGTATGAGGAAGTGTGGCAGAGTGAGAAGAACATAATTAAATCTTGGTAACCTTGGCTCTTGTGCTTATTAGCTATATGTCTTACAACCAGTCATGTCTATTCTCTTAGCCTTCAGTTCTTCGTTTGTAAAATGGAAATACTAATTTACGGTCTTGCAGAATTAGAGATAATATGTGTCCAGTCACTGGTGCATATTGATGTTCAATAAATAATAGCAATTGTAATGTTTGTCACATGTAGGTACTGTGCTAATGAATGATTTACATGCATTATTTCATTTCATCTTTACAGTGGTTAATCTTTGCAATGAGATAGGTCCTTGTGTCTTGTTTTACAGATGAGAAATCCAAGCTAGAAACAGGTTAACTAATTTATCCCATGTCATCAGAGCTATTAAGTGGATCCAGAATACACTGTTATTATTGTGAGAATAAATCAAAAGTAGTAAGTCTTTTTATCGTACATGAAAACACATTGCATTGCCAAAGGACAAATCTCTACAAAATTTCTTCAACTAGCCTCCTTTTCCTGGCAGTACCATTTGTTTGGGCTTATAGAATGCACATACTTGTGGTCTTTTTCAAATCACGCCTCATATATTAAAAATGATTTGTCCTTGAGACAGTGAGTAGGGCTGTTCTGATTAGGGAGTGAGTCTGGTTATACGAGTCTGAGAATTAGAGTTCAAATGAATTTAAGGATCATCAGAGCTAAACCACCCATTTTACAGTTGAGAAAACCAGGCATCAAGGGTGGAAATTAACTTGCTCAAGAAAGTTAGATGCAAGAGGGATCCTAGAATGCTAAGCTTCTTTCACTTTGCATATAGAACCTCTTATATGAGAAAAGTTTCCCCCTCCTCCTCCTTCTTCAGGAAAAGTCAAGCGCTTCTCATTCGTTATGAAAGCCAGGCTGAATCCTTTCTTGCCTTCATCTCTTCCTCTTTCCCTGCCTAGTGCTTTAGCCTCTCACTGTTCACCTGGGGATTCTAATGAGAAACAGACATCAAAAATCAATAAGTAGACATCAGCAATGTCAAGAAAGACCTGAGTCAGGAGAGAAGGCTGGTCATCAGAAAGGATAATCAAGAGGAATATTCATTGTTCCCACATTTGGGGATTCATTGCTGCTGAGAGATACAGCTAGGCTTTTTATTCTGGCATTTGGGAGTATGGTCTTTGCTGTCAGACAGTATGAGTTTGAATCATGGCTGTGCCTCTCACCAGCCACATGAACCTGGATAACTTCAATACCTTTCTAAGTTTTCATTTTATCATCTATAAAATGAAGATAATGCAAATTATGGTGAGGGTTAAATAAAATAGATGTAAAAACAAAGAATTGTAATGGATTTAGCAGAGTTCTAGAAACAAATTAAGCATAAAAAAAATCATTTCCGTAGCTGTACCATGATGGTAGCACACAGAGCTTATTCAGCGTTATAAATCTCCAGTGCCTAGAATAGTACCTGGCACCTGGGAGCAGCTCAAAAAAAGGTTGTTTGCATGAAACACTAAATTACTGAACACTAACTGGAAAAAAATATATACCTTTTTTTTATGCCACATGAAAATAACCCACGACTCTCTAAATTAAAGGCTAGTCAGAGGCTACTCTGCTGAAAATGTCGTGGAAAGAGTTGGGTCTTGTGGATTGCTAGACTGGGGTTGTACTCCTAAATCTGGCAACAGCCAACTTTGTGAAATGGATTGCAAGATTTCAAACATCTGTCATTCAATTTCTCACAAGTACAATGGATGTAAAAATCATGCTAGCACAACAGGACTAAACCAAAAGCTAAGAAGTTTCCTGAATACAACCAAATACTTCGAGGGACAGAGTAGCAGGGCCAGGGGTCTGGGGACAATGGTTTCAGGGGACATCTAGGTCAATTGGCATAACAAAGTTTATTAAGAAAATGTTCTGCATCCCACTTTGGTGAGTGGCGTCTGGGGTCTTAAAAGCTAGCGAGTGGTCACCTAAGATACATCAATTGTTCCCAACCCACCTGGAGCACAGGAGAATGAAGAACACCAAAGACACAAGGAAAATATTATCCAAAGAGACAGAAAAGACCACATAAACCAGAGACTCCATCAGCCTGAGACCAGAAGAACTAGATGGTGCCCGGCTACCACCAATGACAGGGAACACAACAGAGAGTCTCTGATAGAGCAGGAGAAAAGTGGGGTGCAGAACTCAAATTCTAGTAAAACGACCAGACTTAATGGTCTGACTGAGACTGGAGGGACCCCAGAAGACTATGACCCCCAGACTCTGTGTTAGCCCAAAACTGAAACCATTCCCGAAGCCAACTCTTCAGACAAAAATTAGACTGGACTGTGAGACATAAAATGATACTTGTGAAGAGAGTGCTTCTTAGTTCAAGTAGATACATGAGACTAAATGGGTAGCTCCTGTCTGGAGACAAGATGAGAAGGCAGGAAGGGACAGGAGCTGGTTGAATGGACACAAGAAATCCGGGGTAGAAAGGAGGAGTGTGCTGGCACATTATAGGCAGAGCAGCTAGGATCACATAGCAACGTGTGTAAAAATTTTGTATGAGAAACTGACTTGAACTGTAAACTTTCATTTAAAGCACAATTTAAAAAATTTTAAAAAAAATGATAGCATATGCTTGCTGGCCGAATACATCTTTGCAATGAAATATGTGCCCAACTCAGTGCCTGGCACATTAAAAAAAAAAAAAAAAAACTGTTCCCCACAAGTGATTCAGACTCATGACCATCCTGTCTGTGTCAGAGTAGAACTGTGCTCCATAGGATTTTCAATGACTGTGATCACCAGGTCTTTCTTCTGAGGCACCTCAGGGTGGATTCAAACCTCCAACCTTTCGGTTAGTAGCCAAGTACTTAATTGCTGGTCCTTCCAGCTTCCTGTCTCCCCAACTCTGAATCCCAAACACGCCATGCCCAGATTACTTGTGACCAGCAAGAAAGAGAGATTTTTAAAGAAAAAAGGTACCACATCTACCCTTCAATTCCCTGGTTCGCTTTCTTTCTGACCCATGATTGCTCACCTCAGATTTCACCAGATGTCCACTGGTTGTTTCTGTTATATGGTTACCAGACCTATTCAAGGTGGGAAGATGCAGTTTACATGCGGGTAGTGAACAACATTCTGTACAATATTTATAGCCATAAATTAATTAAAATGTAGTATTAGTAGCAATTTTATTACCTGCAAAGCAACAATAAAAAGATGCATTTATTGCTGTGCTGCAGATGGAAGACTGCACTCTGTCCTTTCCTGAAAAACAGTTCATCATTAATTATCACTTATTATACTCTTTGGAAAGATTTTTATTTAATTATAAAAATATATAATTATTGATATAGTGAACATTTTAATTGCATGGGTCTTAGAACGTTTTTGCAATAATGTTCATATTATTATTTTAACTACCAAGCATAGCAGGGTGTACTATGAATACAGAAAACTCATTTTTAAACTAAAGAAGTTAAGAAAAGAAAGGAAAAAACAAAGATTGTTTTCCTTCTCAATCCCAGGAAAATGAGAGCCTGTTGATTAATTATGGAGCTCTCCTCTGATTTTAATCTTAAAATGAAACTTCGTAAACAAGAAGGCCATTTGAAAAGCTGAGAGGATATCGCTGATAATTTATTTCTCTTTTAAGGAACTTCGGTAATCCAGGTGACAGCTTCAGATGCTGATGACCCCACCTATGGAAACAGTGCCAAGTTAGTGTACAGTATCCTAGAAGGACAGCCCTACTTTTCAGTGGAAGCACAGACAGGTACCGTGGAATGCCATTGTGATTTATGACGCATTGTAATCAGGTGTTTGGACTGTTTACTCAGCCTATTTGATTTTCCATTTTCTCAAATGTAGAAAGGACATAATAAGACACATTTTACAGGACTATTGTGAGGATTGGATACT